GGGACTCCCCACACTGACCCAGACAGCCAAAGGTTTCCTTCTGCTGTACAAAATCCCAGGTTATCCTGGCATACACAGCCTTCTGAGCAACTAACCTGCAACAGCTTGTCCAGTGATAAAACACAACCTGAGCTGTGTCCTGCCATGTGGTGGTATCCTCCCTTCTGCTGCCAGTCCTGGCTCCATCTCCCTCTGATGTTTCCCAGGCTGAAGCTTTTTGACACCACCAACCAAGTCTCTGAAATGCCTGACCACACACAGTGGCACAGCACTGAGATCCAGTGGAGACAGCAGCTAAGTTGAAGCTAACTGCACCAGCTGAGCTAGGGAAGCAGCTGCTCCTCCTCCTGCCCTGGACTATGAAGCCTCCTTAGATAACGGAGCCAGCGTGCCCAGAGGGAAACACAACGTCTGCAGGACTAGTGAGTGTGTCTGGTCAATCTTTTCCCAGAGGTCATGCTGCTCATCACTGGCACCACAAAGCAGGTCAAAGCTTAAAATAGATCAAAGGTCTCCCCGAGGGGGTGGCTGGGAAGCCAAGCCCTGTCCTTGGCATGTGCTGTCTCACTCACTGCCAGCACATCTCTGTTGGAAGGGAGTTTTGACCCAGAGGTCACAAAGTGATTCCAGTAACACTGTTGAAATTTTTTTGGAGCTGCTATAACACACTTATCACCTGGCAAGTACCCAGACAGCAAACAGCCCCTTGGAATAATACTAATGCTGATACCAGCCAAAAAGCCACAGCAGGAAACATACTGAAGAGAAGAAAAAAACAACAAAAAGGGAAAACCCCAAAGCTTTCTGCATCCCTGAAAACTTGGAGTCACTTGCAGCCTGTTCCTCAGCCACCATCCTCCCCACCTGCCCTTTGCAGGGGATCATTCCTGTTTCATTCTGCAGGAAGCAAACAGGCTCTTCACCAAAGTGCTGAGCAAAGTAATTGCACCAGCAGTTCCCCTCACCCCTGCAGCTGCTTCCTTACAACGGAAGGCTCCAGTGAGAGGTGGACACTCCCAAGACAGAGGTTATGGATTTGGCATCTCCAGAGGAGATTATTCAGCCATTTTCTCCCTGCACGAAACACGATCCTGGCCCGTGTGTCCCTGAGCACAGACACCTTGGGAAGGCACGAGAGCAACAGAGGGAAAATCTCAATTCCAGTAAAAACAGTTCTGTGTGATTTTGTAAAGTGACAGAGAAAAGTGGGGACAGGGATAAGGATTTGGCTTCTGCCTCATTGTCTCAACAGGACCAGCCTGTGCAAGGCCTGTCGTCTTCACCACATGGTAACAAACCAAGGACTTGGACATTCCCAAGCCACTCACACCACAGAGCATCTGTCAGCACAACCAAACTGCCCCTTCAGGCTGCTGCTGGCCAGAAGGGCACTTAGAACACCAGACAGACTCCAAACACAGCACAGGCTGTCCCACGGCCCAGAAGCAAGGCTGGGCAGGATGCACCTCACTCCCTGCAGCAGCCCTGGGAATAATGAGGGGTTAAGTCTCTGTCCCTGTGCCTGGCTGTGCCTGACCTTGTGCAAGGACAGCAGAGAGAGAGCAGAACCACCTTCACCACACCTGTGGTCCCACCTGCTGTTCAAGGAAGGAAGTAATTGATGCGCTGGGACACAGATTTGCAGCCCTGTGCAGAGAAAAGCTGCTCCTCTTTGGGGACAAACACCATCATCCTGGCCACCTCGTCGAGGGTGGCCTCGGTGTAGGGAAGCCCACGGGCAAGGAAGGCATCCTGCACAGAGCTTCACGTGCTGGTACTCCAGGGGCAGGAATGGCACCAGGAAGTCGATGAGGTTCTCCCTGAGGAGGTGGCTGTGGGCGTAACTGTTCTCTGGAGCAAAACACAAGACAAAACAAACTCAGGAGCTTCACCTGAGAGCATCATCTCCTCTGCAAGGCCAGGCTTGGCTCCGAGGGGCTCATCCAGCTGCAAGTGGTGGGAGAGAGACACCCACTTGTACAGAGCTGGTCAGCACTTAGCACGAGCACAGAAGGGCCCTATGGCTCACCCATCTCATGCCAAGAGACACCTGAAGCCCCAGAGAAGCCTAACAGCATTGCCTCTTGCTCTCTGACCATTTTGAGACTCTCACTCCCTCCTGACATGCCTCGTGCTGCAGTGGTGCTGTGCTCACAGGGACAAGGGAAGAGTGTCACACTGCAAATAACCCTGGGCTGGGGGTGGAGGTTTGTCCCACAGCACACACCAGTGATGGGACTGTGCAAGCAAAGCTGGCACTGAGCAGCAGGTGTGATCCCACAGCAAACACAGCTCTTACCTGCAGCCTCCTGCAGCTCCAGCCGCAGCCTCCGCTCCAGCAGCTCCGTGGAGATCTCCTCCCGTGCCCGCCCAGCTCGCCAGAAGTCCAGGGCCACCTCGTTGATGCTGCTGCCACCGAGATTGCTGTGGGCACAGAGGGAAGTGACTCAAGTGTGTCCCAGAGAGGAACAGCTAAGAGTCTCCCTGCAGACAGGGAATGCTGTCAGCAATGGAGGATTTCCTGTCCAGGATCAGCACATGGAGAAGCCAACCTTCTTCCCAAAGAGATTGTTTCCACAGGCTTAGTCCTCCAGCTCAGACCCAGGGGCAACAGAGTCCTTCACCTCCCTCAGTCCCCTGTCTGGCTGGGAAGCCATCGACCTTGCGCTTGGCCCTGCACCAAACTCTCAACAAGCCACCACTGGAAGCCCAAGGTAAAGGGCAGAGCCCATGGCAGAGTCCCACTGGATGCAGAGGTGCAGGGCAGGGATTCATGGGGCAGCCCAGGGACAGGTCTCACCTGAGCACTCCTATGGACACCCACTGTGGGGGCAGCTCCGTGGGAAGGGATATGAGGGACACTGTTGAGGATCCCAGGGCAGTCCCTCACCTTGGAAAGCAGTTCCAGGTCAGGCTGCCCCCCAAGTGCTGGTGAGGGGTTTGCCCCCAGCCCAGAGTACCCCAGTGAACTGGGGATACTGGGAACCACCAGTATGGTGGAACCACCAGTTGGCTGCAGGGTTTATGTCGTTAGTTGGGAGGTGGAGGAGGGAGTGGGAGACACAGACCTTGCACCTATCCTTCCCCTCCTGTCAGAGGCTCTGGACCCCAAATAGAGAGGAGGCAAAATTAAGCAGCCACCACTGTTTCCACCCCTCACTGCCCTGTTAGAGAGGGAACCAGCTCGTACTGATCCTGCTCCCACACAAACCACAGGAGAAACAGCCCCTTCTGACCAAAGCCAGGCAACCAGTCCCACCCTGTTCCCCACTCCCACACCTGGTCAGGGCTGCAGGACCATGCCAGTGTCCACAGGAGCCCTGGAGCAGAGCCTGCCCTCCTAAACAGGTCAGTGTCACACTGCCACCAGGGATGATGACACCCCCAGGATTACACACTGCTGCAGTTCAAGGCACCCTGCTCCTCTCTGCTTGGTGACACAAGGGACATGGCCATTCCCTTCACCTGCACAGCTTGCCAGGCTGCACACAAGGTCAGCACAGTGTAGCCAACAGCACGTCCACCCTGCACCGAGCAACAGACCCTGTGTCCTCCACCACAGCTCCTGCTGGAGGCCCACGCAGGTGGGACTCAGGTGTGGGCAGTTCCACAGACACTGGGCACACAGACAGGGAACCACCAAGCCTGGAGGTCAGAACACTTGCCTGGATGGTGGGAGATGGAAAAGGAATGCTCTGCCCACCTCCAGCCAGTGGGATCAGCTCCTGCCAGAGCCAAGCTGAACGCTGCAATTCCTAAAGTGAAGGAAGCCCAAGATGCTGGTACTGCCTCACATCTTGGTTTTGAGATATCCCACTTCTCCCTCTAGCTGCATCCCACTTGGGTCAGGGACAGTCCTCGGAAAGGAATCAACCAAAGCAGAGGATGATGCAGGATCAGCCTTCACAGCAGCTCAGCCTGCAGCCATGGCCTGGCAGTGGGAACTCCCCACGTCCCAGCGGTGCCCAGAACTTCCCACCAAGACCTGCAGCCCCAGCTTTACTCCCCGGAGAGTGGGACCTCCTGCTCAGCTGGGCAGGTAACACCATGCTAGCTCTGACTCTCACAGGCTGCTTGTCTCAAAGCCCAGACACTGCTTCAGCTGTCCCAGCTCAGCTGTGCCTCAGCTCCTCCTGCACATGCTCTGCACCCAAGGGTGATGATCAGCATCAACAGGCAACACTGACCACAGAGGCACCACCTCTTAGGGGAGAGAGACATCTCTGTCCCCTCCCCTGCAGCCTGAGCCCCTCACATTGCACACCTCAGGGATAAATTCCATCACTTGGTTCCTCCCCATCCCTTCAGGGGCCCAGAAATCACCTGAGGAAGAGGAAGATGGATCTCTGGTCATCCACCTGGTCCTTGCTGTGAGCCACGAAGGGTTTGATGGCATCCAGGAGGCCAGAATGCAGTTTCTCAGCCTCATCGAAGATGAACAGGGACTGCCTGCAGAGCTGCCTGGTCTCACTGATCTGCCTGTGCAGCTGGGCCTGTGGAGCAGCAGGGAGGAGTGTCAGGCACCCTGTGGGATGTCCCCGTGTCACACAGCCTGGGACGTGCACACCAGGAGCATCACCTGGGGCTGGGCCTGGCTGGCAGCTAAGCACCACAGGAGCTGACTGGTTCCTCCCACCCAGCACAGGGCAGAGCACAGTGAGAGCAAAGGCAGGAAAAGGAGTCGAGATAAAGACAAGTAAGTGAAGGAAAGAGGAAGAAAGCAAGTGATGCAAAGGCAGTAACCCACATGTGCCACAGGACTGATGCCCAGCCAGCCTCGAGCAGTGGCTTCCTGCCCCCAAACCCTCTCCCCTCAGCTTGCATTGCTCAGCACAGTGCTAAATGACAAAAAACCCTTTGGCAGGTTGGGCTCAGCTGTCTGGTGCACCCCCCAAGTCTGCTGACTGCAAGGGCAGAGTGGGAGATGGGGGAAGCCTCGAGGCTGAGATGTAACCACAACACTGGTGGTTACCAGCACCGTTTCACTCACCCACCCAAACCACAGCACTGTTCCCTCACACAGCTGTGAAGGAATTTAGCTCCATCCCAGCCCCACCTGACACACTGTGCCCTCCCCATGGCCACACCATGCTGTTGGCTCTCACCTTGTAGGAGTCCACGTACTTGTGATGTGGGAAGTGGAGGAGGGAGATGAAGACTCTGACACACTTGCTCTTCAGCCCATCCCGGTACAGGTGACCTGCCACCATCCGAGCCACAAAGTTCTTGCCTGTGCCAGACCAGCCATGGAAGGAGAGCACCAGAGCCTTCTTGGGCTGTGGGCTCTGCAGGAACCCTTGTATTGCCTGCACAACCACTTCTTTGGCCAGGTGCTGCCCGTGGAGCTGCCCATTGAGGTCTGCCTCCAGCCCTGCAGCAGAGAGAGCCCTGAGTTGCCAGCCCAGCTGCTGCGAGTGGGAATGAGAAAATGTGGCAGGGCTGCCTGGCTGAGAGGAGTCTCAAGTGGCATTAACGCCACAGGCTGCCTGTGCCCTGCCTGCATCAGCCTCTGGCCCTAAAAGACACAGATCTTCCACTGACCTCTTTTTTCCTTTGGCAAGGGGCAGAGACACTTGGCAACTGACAGCCCCAGGCCCTTCTGAGCTCCCAGCAGAGGGTATGGACACCAGGAGTCTCAGGGAGAGCAGAACACAGTAACACCTGCTCATGGCTTACACACAGCACTCTGTGTCCCCTCCCAACCTGGGGCTGGACCCCAGGCCAGGCTGGATCCCACTGCACATGGCTGGGATGCAGGCAGGGCTCCTGTCAAACTGAGGCAGAGACACTGTGCAGTAAGGAACACTCTCTCCAGTCTGAGAACTCAGCCCCTCGCCCTCCCACAGCTCAGCACCCTGCTCAGAAATGCCCTTTGCTTAAATTACTTGCTAAAAGTAACCTCTTTTACAAAGAAAAGAAAAAAGGCAAACAAACAACAGAACTAGCACAGCCCCTACCTGTGATGTTGTTGACTATCCTGCAGTCTCCTGTAGTGCAGCACTTGCCAAAGCTGCAGTACCAGGCAGAGAGGATCTCCAGGTAATCCTGACCCATCAGAGGCAAACTCCAGCCTGGAATTAGAGGTGGTCTGAGCACAGATATTCCAGCAAGTGGCTTTTTTGGCATTCTGGGCAGACACTCAGCTGAGCCCCGTTAAGGGCAGCCCTTTCCCAGGTGCAGGGACTCAGCCAGGCCCTAGCGGGACAAGGAGCTCACAACAAGCAGCAGCTGCAGCTGGCACCGAGAGCCGAACAGGCACAGGGCACACTCCTCTCCCGGACACACAGAGCTCTTGGTTTACACACAGCACTCCGTGCACCCTCCCAGCCTGGGCCCGGATCCCAGACCAGTCGGGATCCCACTGCATATGCCCGGGATGCAGAACAGGGCAAGGTGCTCACCTGGGCTGGGACGGGACTCATCCT